ACCACAAGCATTACCGTTTCAAGAATGCAGCTAGGTATTCCAAACTGTGTATAATGTCACACTGTTGAAACAATATTAATAAGAAAAAAATCTCTTCAGGATTTCTGCAAACTTGTTAAATTTAAGACTTTTTAAGACCTTTTTAATACCACCTTATATGAAATTTAACACCTAAACCTGTAATGGATATACACATTTTATTACATACATATATGTAATATTTAATGTGTATAAATTAAAAAGAAAACAAAATATCAATGCTGTAATAAATGGTATTTATTACTATGATATACAGTGAACTTTTCATGTCAGCAGACATTATTCCATACAAAATATCTCCACAAAATAACTGCATCACTGAGATTTTTGGTGGAGTAAACAATTTATTCTGAAGCAATATTTTTGCTTCAGAATATTTTTTTAAATATTTCATCAGTATTCTATCAGCTTTTACATACTTAAATCTGCATATTTACCTTTACAAAGGCCTATCTTTAACCTTTTTAGATGTATGCATCATCTTACATGTCAAATTATTACAATTTATCAATAAATTAAATATACACTATAGGGCTGCTACCAGTCAGATTAAATAATTTACACTGCAAATAACAATAATTACAACTGCAATAAATAATGTTATGAGATTAATGTTTTAAATGCATTTATGAATATACAAATAAGAAATGTTGAGGGGAAAAATGCATACTTTTCAACAAACTTCTCAACTAAACTACCAGTAAGTGATGGTAAGTCACTTAATGAGTGAGTCATTGAGTCATTTATTCAACTGATTGAGTGTGTTATCATGCTGGTATTTTAAGGACTTTCGTGGATAGCGGACTCCTAATGTTTTTGATATTCTTCATATTCTGTGTGGTGGTCAGATAAGTTTAAATATATTTTTACCTTTTATGGGCATTTTACCTTTATAAAGCCATTTTTCTATAAGTGTGCATTATCTTTTGAGTCAAAATCTTACATTTAATCAGTGAATTAGAATAAGACATTTGGGCTGTTACCAAGCAAATGAAATCAGTATCAACAAAATTCATCTTTGCAATCCAGACATAAGCTGCATCTGAATTGGCATTTAGATGTGTTTACACGCTGTTTAATGCAGAACATGAATGCATTTAACCTGCAGTTACAAATGCATAAATAATGTTTTGATATATTAAACATAAAACATTGAATACTGATATTTGAAATAATTAAAAAAATGAAAATACTTTAAATGTGAAATGAAAGTCATTAGCTCCGTGTCTAAAACGTAAGTCTCTTAATAAAACTTCTAGTTTATTGAACTGTTGTAAAAAACCAATATCACATTTGTATATGGTAATTTTTGGAGAGGAAAAAAAGGCACTCTTCCATGTGAACTTGAGTATAAATATATAAATTTTCTGCCCCCATGTCTTGAATTTATGATCATTCTGAATGTATTTTAATAGACTGAATCGTGCAGTGATCAGGCAGAGCGCACTGCAAATGCGCACGCGCACTAGACTTCATGTAATGCGTGCACTCTGTAGGTGTTTTGAATGTTTTTTTGCGTCGTGAGAATATTGAGCAAAATAGCTCACTTGTCATGGTGTTATTTAACTATATCATGTTATGAATAACCTAAATATTTAGAATTTTTACCTCAGTGTGTTTCTTCTGAGTTTATGTGTGCGGTCACGCTGTTCTGAAGTCTCGAGACAAACGGAGTGAGACTCAGCGCGAGCTTGTATTCTGTATTCTGCTAACTTACTGCAGTTCTCTCTGATGATACAGTAACTAACCGCGTGGAGAAAAAATCTTCGGTCTGTCCAATGATTGTAAAGACATTAGGTCCTTCAGACTTAAAGGTGTCCTATTATGCTTTTTCACTTTTTTAATTTTAGTTTAAAGTTTTAATTTTAAGTTCTAAATTGATTGGATTGTTGGAAGCTGGGGTGTTGCTAATAAAATGGAGGCAGATCTGAATGCCAGTCTCTCATATTCGTGAAAAAAATTAGTTTGCGATGTCCTAAGAGTAATGTTGTCGTAATATCCGAATATCTTTTCAATGTTTAGAAGTAACGTACTCCCTCATGACTGGTGTCAGTGCTATAAAGTGAAGCATCAGCTTCAGCTTTTCCCCGTCGTTTATCCCAGCGTTTACCCCTCACGTCAATCAGTGTTTCAGCCGGACAAAGACGTCAATATAACGGGTTGTAAACAATGTCACATAAAGTCACATTTACCTCAGAAAAACATATTCGGTGACCATAAAAATATATTCACCATATAACATTCATTATAAATTTTACTGTTCTTCAATGTTTAATTTATGTTTGAATAAATCCATCAGGTTTTTATGACAGCCACCATTGTTTATATTTAAAAAACAAAAAGAACTGAAGTAGAAATATTATTATGTAACTGTAACTTTATTATTTTAAAACTTCATTAAGTGTAATTTTAACAAATCAGTCAGTTTTAACCTTCAATATTATAGTAATGTAGTACCAACTGACTCTCATATATATTGTAGTTGAGTTATTTTTTTTCTTTCAGAAAATTCGGCATGTACTGTACCTGATATATATATATCCAAAATAATCGATATCGAATCGAATCGTGAAATTTGTGTCAAAACCCAGTCCTATAGTTTACTATCATTATTTATGTTGTGCAATATGGAATGTGTGCATGGTATAGTTGTCTCTCTGTTCAGCTCAAAGCTCGATTGGCTAGATTGCGATCTATTTGTTCTAAAATTGTGGGCCAAGTGCTTGAGCCAAATTGTCAAGATCTGTATACCAAAAAAATGCTGACCTTGTTAGGAAAGATTATGTCTGACTTTGCTCACATTTTATTTGAGGAATATCAGTTTTTGCCATCAAATAGAAGGCTTAGAGTTGCAAATGCCAGATTGAACAGATCACGTAAATCTTGTGTTTATCAGTCCGTAAAATTAATAAATCAGAATTGTAGAATCTAAGTAGGCCTCTGGGTTCTGTAAAACAGAAAGAACTATACTAATGCACTCCCGACTGTGTGTGCATGTATTTATACTGTTGGTTTTTGTATTAAGGTGTGTTTATTGTTTGTTTGTTTAAATTGGTGTAATGTGAGATCCGCTGTGAGATGCAAGACACATTTTGGAAGAAATTCCAACAATGAAGTGTAATTTAATTGAATTTTGTCCTGCTCTCAGTGGGCAGAAACCCAGAATTATTCTTTTAAAGTCTTTTAAAATTGTTCTTCTCTATTGTGATATACAGTATATCAGAGTGAAATGACTTTTTGAACAAGAAAAATTTATAAAAACAATTTATAGTAAATACTGTAATAATTTTATAATAATTGTTCATTTTGATTTCATGTTGACTCAAGCTTGTGTAATAAGCAGTACCCTTGAAGCTGACCTTGAAACTCTACTTTACCTTATAAACTATGACTGGAAGGGTTTGTAGATTCAGGACACTCCCTGAATTTGTTGGGAGTTGGCAGGAATATCTGAATGTCTAATATTACATCCATTTCCTGTCTTGTGACCCTCTGACTTGCCAGTTCTTACTGTTCTTTTGGCACAGCAATACTGATCACAGAAAGGTTTTCAATTATCACTGTGGCTCTGAATTCACCACTGATTGAGTGGCAGTAGAAATCTGTCAAACTGTTCATATAAATGATCTAAAATTCTAGTCATGCTTCCCACCCCAGAATTAACTCCACCAATTATCTCTGGTCCGCTTGCTGAGGACCACTAATGAGTCAAAGACATGGATTGGACACTGATTTCCTTAGGACACACGGGGAGTAATTATAGACTCCTTGACCTTTAACAAGGGTCTGAGAGGCTGTACTGATATTCAGACTTTAACAAGTGCTGCTTCTCAGAAAGACCTAAAATAACACAGACATATTCTGATCATTTCGCAGGTACATGATAAGAGGCCCTCATAATGCTATTTTTGTACAACATTTTTATTTTCTCTGACACTTTTTTTCCTACTGTGTTGCATAAAATATTAAACTAATTTTGTGTCTTAAGATAATTCATATAAAATCAAGTCAAAGTCAATAAACTCAAGACTCTTGACAAGACGAATACAATACCATACAATTTTGTGCAGAATACACTTTTATTTGTCAGCCTCTCTCTCTTTCTTTCAGTAGCGGAAATTTAAATGTGAGATTCTGGAAACGAGATCTAAATTTAGCGGGAACGGTCGGGTCGGGAAGAAAATTATTCTAAGCGGACAGCAGGTGAACAAAGAGTGAATATATAGCGGGAGCGGGTGGGTACGGAATAGAACCTTGCGGGAGCGGGACTAAAAAAAACAGTCCCGCGCAGACCTCTACATTCTGTCCCATTCTTTGTATTCATGCCTGATAAGCATCTAGGGCCAAGTAATACGGCTTAACAAAATAATAAAAAATAAATATTGGAGCATATTTTGACAATGTTTCAATATAATGTTCATGTATTTCAACCTAACTGTAAAACACTGTAGAAATCTTAAAAATGTTACACTTAAAAAAAAAAAAGAAAAAAAGAATGATAAATAACTAAACTGAATCATGTATATAAACAGCTAAAATACTGGTCAAAAGTTTGCGATCGGTAACATTTTTTTGGTGTTTTTTATGTTCAACAAGGCTGCATTTATTTGTTAAAAAACAAAGTAAAAACAGAAATACTGTGAAATATTAGTGCAATTTAACTGTAATATTACTGCAATTTAAATGTAACCGTTTTCTATTTCAGTTTATTCCTGTGATAGCAAAGTTGAATTTTCTTCAAACATTACAGTCTTCAGTGTTACATTCTCCTTGAGAAAAAACCCTATTATGCCATTGTGATACTCAATCATTTTTTTTATTATTATCAATCATGAAAAATCATGCTGCTTAATATTTTTGTGGTAACTTTTCCCCTAATTTTCAGAACATAGGTTGAACTTTATGAGAAATGAAAGTGTTTATGTGTGTAGGTGTGTCTGCAAACAAGAACATTGACATACCGTACAGAACTGGATGCCCCGGACACTGTTGCCAAGTTTGTCCAACGGAGGAGACCAGCACATGACACCCATCACATTGGGCACAACCAGCAGAATACCGCCAGCCACACCTGACTTGGCTGGTAGACCCACCTGAACAAAATACGTTAACATAAAAAAATTATATACAGATAAAAATAGGATAACCATAACTGAAGATATTGTGTTTGGCTGTAGGACTCTGGGTGGGGTTCACTAAGAATAAATAGCCGGGTTTATTTTCATGTTCAATAATGAGCTTGATTATCATTTAAATTAGGGGTGTTTGCAAACCACAATTATGTTGTATTGCAGGAAATAAGTCACAGGTTTTTATCCTGAAATACTGCATTCCAAATTTATACAACTGTTTCGTGAATTTGTATTTTAGTGTACTTTAATTAGCACAAATAATGGACACAAGTATGCTCTAAAAAGTGTCTGTGGACTTTAAGAGCATACAAAAAAGTATTTGCATTTGGACAAAGCCATTCAACATTTAAAAACATCGTCGTTCTCAATTTCTGATAGCTAGGCGTTGTTTAAATTTTCCTTTAAAGTTAAAGGAAATAGTAACAAAAAATGTGAAACTGAAAGGAAAAAGAGGAAAGTTCACATGATGTGGCAAAACAGTACTCCATAATAACAGGAAGTGAGTTGGCATAAATACCGTGTGAACTACTGTGATTCTGTTTACTCGTGTGAATCTGCATACACAAAAACTTACATGGAAGGCGAATTGTCCGGAGAAGTCATACATGCCGCAGGAGTGCATGAGGCTGAGGGTGTCTCGCACGGACTCGGGGCTCAGCACACGCTCGCCTGTGATTGGACAGAAGCCACCGTTGGCCAATGTGGCAGCCATGACGCTAGCGCTCTCACACGTTACCTCGATGGAGCACAGCTGCACATATGGACGCAAACATAATTAAACATATGAATAAGAAATATTAAGCCAGGATGCCAAATCACAGTTTTTATTTCAACATGCTTTGTTTGACAGCTTTCCTCATGGATTTTACGGAAAACAACACCCTAAGAATTTGACCACGTGTGTGGGTATGTGTGTGTGTGTGTGTATAAGAGAAAGCCATCAGCTGCACTATCCCATTACACACGCCGCATGAGCTCAGAGGCACATGACAGGAGTCAAGGGACAGTCACCAGACTGCAGTCCTGCCATGCTTGTGCCATGTCTAACTAAGCCAGAGTCATTCATGTCAGCAAATCAACTTTCTATGTTCTCTAATAACCATTCAATTATAGTGATTTACAGATTCTGTGATTCTGATTCACAATCTCTTGCTTTGATTTGATTCCAATTTTGATGTGATTTCTTAAATATTGATTCATTTGGTAATATACTACCATTCGAAAGTTTAGAGTGAGTTTTTTGTGTGTGTGTATAAGAGAAAGCCATCAGCTGCACTATCCCATTACACACGCCACATGATCTCAGAGGCATATGACAGGAGTCAAGGGACACTCACCAGACTGCAGTCCTGCCATGCTTGTGCCATGTCTAACTAAGCCAGAGTCATTCATGTCAGCAAATCAACTTTCTATGTTCTCTAATAACCATTCAATTATAGTGATTTACAGATTCTGTGATTCTGATTCACAATCTCTTGCTTTGATTTGATTCCAATTTTGATGTGATTTCTTAAATATTGATTCATTTGGTAATATACTACCATTCGAAAGTTTAGAGTGAGTTTTTTAAATGACTTTTATTCTTTCCAGCAAGGATGCAATGTATTTATCACAAGTGAAAGTAAACCATTTATGTTTTTATTTGAAATTCAATTTCAAGTAAAAGTTGTTCTTTAGAACCTTCAATTCATCAAAGAATCCTGAAAAAAAAACATTTCAGCAAAAAGATATTAAGCAGTTTTCAACATTGACGATAATAATAAAACCACCAAATCAGCATAACAGAATGATTTCTGATTGGAGTAATGGAGTAAATAATATAATATAAATATTGTGTGTGTGTCTATATATATATATATAGTATAGACACACATTTTTATATATGAAATATTTTAAATCGCAATAATATTTCACATTTTTACAGTTTTTACTGTATTTTTGATCAAATGAATGCATTAAAAAACTTGTTAAAAATATTACTAAACCCAAACTTTAGAATGGTAGTTTATATCAGTTACAATATCAATATTTCAGAAGGCAATCCCAGGATGCATTGCAACAAGCTCACAACTTTTCTGTTGCAATCTGACAGTAACTCAGAAATGGAAGGCACGTCTCTACACACCTGAAAGTAGAGGTCCAGAACAGCAGTCATGTCTGTACCATCTGGAAAGCACTGCATACAAGAGAAATTTAGATTAAAACATGGAACCACTCCTGGACAAATGGGCCATTTACACAAAAAATGTTTTTCCATTCCATTGTGCTAATTTTGCATTTTATGTAAACAACATGCACTAGACAGACATCTTTGACCATTGCGCTTGCGTCTCGCATCTTTTGCAGCATTTCACGCATGATACGGCATTCTAAAAACACGTTAAAAGCTCAAGTTAAAAGTTCAACACATCTTGGAGCCTTGCGTTTTTTCCTCCTTCCACTGCCTGCGTCTCATGTTTTTCAAAGCAAAAACATGTTCTGTGTGAATGGCCCCAAAAAAGTAACAGCATGTAAAATGTTAAGGGTATATGTGAAGAGAAATAGAGAGATGATTGGGTGCAATAAATCAATCACCTAATCACATCAAAAGCTCCCTGAGATACTAACCTTCTTTTCTTTCAGGTAATAGCCAATAGCGAAATTCCTGTCTCCTGACTCACGCTCCGACTGGAATCTAGAGCAGTTGACATAAATAACCAGTTACCTCAATCAAACCCAACAACACAAATCATGCATAACATGAAAGTACAAAAGAGGACTATTTTTTGACTGTTTGCCAACTGTATCTATGATCAAAACAATAAAACTGGTAGCTCAACATACGTGGCATTGCTAAAACCAACATATTCATTTCCTGCCATCATCTTCAAGAAGCTCATCATCTGCAAGAGAGAAATCAGAACAGGTCAATCAAACTCAAAACAGTTCCTGTGAAAAATATATCATAATTGTTTCATAAATGACTTACATAATCAAACTTCTCAGCATTGCTTGCCCCTTGCTGAAAGACAAAGGAAAGAAATAATAGACATATAAATATATTCTCATTAAAAGAGATAAAAACACATTTTTAAAAGTAGCATCATGGGGAAAAAATAAATCAGAACAGTAACTAACTCATACGGATTAGCAGTAAGGAAATGGATCATTTCATTCCTTTAATATTACCAGTACATTGCTAAAATCGTCAGTTAGTAATCTGTTGTTAGAAATCAATGAGAAGATCACAATCATTTCATATGTGTTCTACAGTAAAGTACTATTATGCTCTACAAAGGGAATGATGATGAACCGCTACAGAGCAAAGACTGGAGTTAAACGTGTTCATGAAGACCTATAGGCCAAACACAGAAGTGGGTCAAAAAACAGAGTGGATGTGAATCAGCAGGGCTGGTAACGTCTTAAGATGATGTGCGAGGAGGATCTGTGCATTGTGTGTTGATGTGTTTCTGAGTGAGTGTGGATCAGTGTCCATTAACCTACAACTTTCTGCCAGACTGAGTGTGGCTTGTGGCACCCATCAAATTAATGCAAAGAGAGCCATTGAGATTGATTGCATTACTGCCATAAATGAACAGTGACTAATGTGTTTGTTTGACTGTCTGTTTAGACTGCTGAACATCAGGGGTGTAAAGTACTCAAATAATTGCACTTAATTACTATATTTATGTATTATTTTGGGAAAACTGTATTCTTAACTAATACAATTTTCAAAGGGTGGAAAAAGTATAATTGCATTAAAGCTTGACAATACATTTGTTGTATGTATAAACAATATCATTAAAACGTTTGGGTGAGATTTTTGTTGTTGTTGAAAAAGTAAATGCTTTAATTCACAAAACCTATGGTAAAGACTTTTACAATGTCACAAAAAAATCTATTTCAATTCAATCCTGAAATTATCAGTTTTCACAGAAATTCTAGGCACCACTTTTCAACAAACAAAACTCTTTTCAATGATATTTCATTGATAATAAAATAAATGTTTCTTAGGCACCAAATCAGCATATTAAAAAGATTTCCGTAGGATAATGTGACACTAAAAACAACTGGAACTGTAATGGCTGTTAAAAATTCAGCATGTACACTTTGACTTACAATAATATTTTAAGTAAAATCGTTGGTCATTGTTGAAATGTAATTTGAGTGCTGCTAACTTCAAAAGTTTGAATCCAATTTATTTGCATTGTGCTTTTTACAATATGCATATACATTTCAAAGCACATTCATAAAAAATATTTTAAAAGTACAAAAAGGAAAGATAGAAAACAACTGGTAAGTCTTTGACCATTACAAAGTCAGAACACTCCAAAAAGAATTAAATAGGCTGCTTTACAAAGTTTTTTCTTATTGCATTTCTTTATTCTATTTAATTACAATTAAATTTGGAAACTTTTATTTCACTTAAGTATGTTTTATCAAAAGTTTACTGAATTAAAATCACAGTAACCATAGCTGAATGCAAACACAATTTTTCTGTACTTTTTACACCCCTGCTGGACATTCTTATATATTAATGTGTATGAACAAATGCTGAATGTATTGCATACCCAGTTTACTTCAGAAACACACAAAGGCCATGCATCAGTATTTTTGCACTGAGATCTTATGAAAAAAGGCAGAATAAAATAATAACACATGGCCTCTATGGGCTTCCGTAGTTTCCAGCAGTAAAGACCATTTGGTCCTGCACAGATGCTCTCTATTTTATGCAGACGCCGCTTTATTAAGGAACACAATGGCACTACTGATATTTTAGTATCCAGGCTTGTTCATGGGGATGGAGGGAAAAATGGAAAGGAAAAATTACCAACGTCATTGACCTGCAGCAGTGGTCAAAAAATCCCACAGATCCTACGTCTGCAAAATATGCAACAACATAAAACAGCACACAGAGCCTTCAACAGCATATCACACGCTTTTAGTACACGCTCATGACCGTGCTCAAGGACTCGGAAGGAATAGGAGGAAAATGTCATGCGTTACTTGGGTGCAAAGGAAACCGACAGGCACGACTTACATTCAGCACTGACCTACCGGAACACATCAGAGAGGTGAAAGACATTTTGCGTCACACCAATATCACAGGAGAACAATGAGAAAAGCAATCACAATGATTGAGTTTAGGTGTGATGGGAGATGTGAGGTTGAACTTCACGTCTGTGTTGTTCACAGGATGCCCAACATTCATCACGCAGAGTGACGATGCATCCTTTTAATGTGTGGATTGGTGCTGGCTTAAAACAGATTCTAGGGCTGTCAATTGTCTTTTAATCACATTAACACTAGTACCGCCACGGGGTAAATTTTACCCGTGGCTGTTTTTAAAACGTACATAAAAGATTTTTAATAAAACATTCAAGTCTCCCAGTCACTGACTTTTACTAAAATTGTGTGATTTACAATCCCCTGTTGTTAAAAACTGTTTAGATAAAACCAAATCAAAAAACGGGGCATTTATACCTATAAGCGCCAGCGCGGGTCAAATTTGCCCGCTATATAATGCCTGTATGTTCGCGCTGTCATTTTCATGCCGCTTATGTTTTAACATAGTACATTGCTAGGCAACGCCTTTCACTCACAGCGGTTATCAGTTTCATAAATATGTATTTATAAATTCATAATAAATTCACCACCTAAATATGTATTTACTTCCTTCTAATTCTCATTGTCAGAGCAGGCTTGTTTAGCTTAATATTGACCGTTATGAAAAGTGACTATAGTGACTATGCATAAAAAAGCCTTGAACATAAAACAACAGGACAAAAATATAGTTGATGACCAGACATAATCATTTCATGACTGTAGACACTTCTTTGTGAAGACAGTAGCATAATACAGTGAAATAATATGTTCTTTAGCCATTCAAAAACAGCTGTCATGTGCGTGGGTAAAATTTACCCGCTAGCGCTTTTAGGTATACAGAGACCCCTGGCGGTTCTAGTGTTAAGTGCATGGTTTGTAACAAATTAATCAATTGCAAATTTGATGAAAAAAGCCCACAAAAGAAGATAAATAAAAGATTTTACAGATCTTTTCTACAAAAAGTGCCTTTAGACATAAATATATATATATATATATATATATTATTTTTTTTTTTTCCAGAGCACTCCCTTTTGCAGTCGGGTCTGTCAACCCCTCCAAGATATATGTTTTGTCCATCCACAGTGTTTTTCTATGTGAACAGGTACTAGATATACATCAGTGACGGTTGCAACGTCTAGACGAAAGTAGTTCATCTTTATGATTTATTACACTAAAATTACATATTAAATTGACAGCCCTAATGAATGCATACAAATATGAACTGTTAGCAAACTTGTCAATGCAGAGGATGACAATAGTTCCTACATCATAGAAATGTGTATGTGTGTATTGTTTAGAAATGATCACTCTGCATAACACACACATGCATATGTATACAAGGGCTCAACTGTGAGCATATATTACAGTGTAAACTGTGCATAAGGCAATAAGAACCTGTGAATCTACAGCATCTACATCTACATTACAAAACCGCCATAAGCCCAGCTGGAGTGTTTTTCTTGTCTTGTGTGTTTGCACATGGATTAAAAAACACATAAAAGACCAAGGTGAATCCGCTGTAGCACACAAACACAACCAAAAGATGCAAACAACTCCAAGAAATACCAGCCAGGCTTCATGAAACTACTACAAAGGCTTATAGCAAAAACTTTATATATGATGCATTTTATAGTCTATAGAGAATTTTTTTTAATAAGGCACAAGTAGGGCTGGGCGATATAACCAATATTCACAATATATTTGCAATGATTTTTCCTGTGATGTAAAATCAAGCAACTCTGTGAATATCTTGAATATCTTATTGATTTTAATGCAAAGTTTCCTAAAAGTGTTTAAGTAGTAAAAGTAGCTTAAAGGGGTCATATGATGCGATTTCAATTTTTCCTTTCTCTTTGGAGTGTTACAAGATCTTGGTGCATAAAGAAGATCTGTAAAGTCTACGTAACGATGTGGGAAGATGTGCATAATGCCGCCCAAATGTTCACGCAAAGAAAGAAGGCGGAACTTTTATTCTCACTGTAGTATTGTTGTTGCCGTCGCCATGTCATGAAGACGCTGTGTGTTTCGTTGTGAAAGCGAAACTACTTTGTTTGGCCTTCCAAAAGAAGACGATATCTGCTTCGTCATGCCTGGAGCTGATCCGTGCTGGTCGCTGAGGAAATACATCAACTTCGTGCTGTGGATCGCCGGATCGGCTTTCACCGTGGACGAAGCAGAGTCCAGCCCGAGGTCGTCACATGTGGTTGCCGCACGCCCGCCGGCCGCCGCTCACTCTAGCCCGCCGTGTGTGTGATGCTGTGTGATTCGTTGTGAAAGCGAAACTACTTTGTTTGGCCTTCCAAACGAGGACACGACTAGAAATCAGTGGTTAAGGTGTATTTACAACACTGTTCCAGAACACTTCCACTAAATGTGTCCAGTGCATTTTATGGAGGACTGTTTCCTGATCCTGGTAGAGTAGACTACAATGCCGGCTGTTCTGACTCACAGACTGTAAGTACGTTTTCATATTTAAAGGATTTGCCACTGATTATTCAAATGCGTTTTGAGCAGTGTAGAGTAGGGCTTGTTGTTTGTCATTTCACCGATCACAAATGCAGACATGGTTTTATGTTTACGCGGCGCGATGCAACGCAACACGTAAAAAGACAGTATAAGTCATTATAATCCGTAATTATGACCCCACTGGATGCAACAAATGCCTCGTTTATAATGGGTTTTAATGTTTTTGTCTCATCGCGCTGGGACATGGCATCACAGTATGGTAAGGGGCGTAACATTTCCGTCACACGCTTGAGGTATTCGGCCAGTCAAAACACACTGGATAGCAGACCAATCAGAGCACACCTCGCTTTTCAGACCGATCAGCTTTGTAAAAATGTACGCGTTTCAGAAAGGCGGGGCATAGAGGAGAAACAATTAATGTACAGTATGTGGAAAATAATGTGTTTTTTAACCTTAAATCACAAACACATTTCATTACACCAAATACACAAAATAATGTTCTTTTTAGCAGCATCATATGACCCCTTTAAGTAGTAAAAATGACATTGGACACAATTTCACAACTTTGATTAAATGATTTGTTTGCATCTTGTGTAAGACTTTTATATATTAAATGTTTTTATATTAATATATATATATAGAAAAATACTGTGGTTTGTTGCCACATACTGTTTTGATGCATATAAATAAAACAATGGAATACTCTTTCTTGTGTTCAACAATGCACATCTGCCTCGATTCTGTCTTGAAAGTAATTAGAAGATTTTCATTAAAAAATTTATTGTATATAAAATATTACATTAAAATCAAATAACAAAAGTTACATATCTTTTTTCTGAACACGTGGGCCTAATTAACACTCAGAGAGGCACTAAAATGAAATAGATTATATAATTTTTTCTCCAGCTGCTTTGACATTTATAAACAACATTCTAGTATACTTATGTTCTATAAACCACTCTTCTCACGATCTATGACGTCTCATTACGAAAGCACTTGCGTAAACAATTACGTATGATTTAGGGTACCGAATGGGCTCTGTTATGTAAATTAGATCATTTTTAAATAGTTGTTGTGCAATTTTTGTATAAACCATTTATTTATTCAGTTTTATCCCCCAGCCAAAGTCACAAGAGTGGGTGGAAAAAATGTGGAGAACAGAAAGTCTGAATGAATTTTACTCAAAATTCATTGCCAACAGACTTTTAACAATAATGGTCCTGAAAACGGGATGAACTCCACACATTTAATTCACAATGAGAGTGGAGGCCTTGAGTAGGTGTACTGTGTACAGTAATAAAACGCAGAGAAAAGACAAGAACCACCAACAAAACCCACTGATCGTCATTTAATCTTAGTCTAGGCAGCACTGATCACAATCACTTATTCAAAACACAACTACAGCCAAAATGATTACTGCATGTGTCTCAAAAACGTTTATCAACAATTTTCTGGCTACTGCCAAATATTATAATCTGTTCTGGCTAATTCAAATCAGGTAAATGTGAGTACAGTTAGGAGGAGTAGTCAAAAACAACTTCTAACACGAAAATAAAATAAAAACAAAAGGAAGATGCTTACCTTGATAAGAGAGGTACACACGATTGCACCAGCATTCACCATTGGATTATGGGGTTTGTCTGTGGAAAAATAGAATTTCTTATTTCTTTGGGCTGCATATTTAAAAAGACACATTGTAGAAAAAAGCAGTCATGCTGAAGCTGATGGTTATAATCCTTACCGTCCTCATCCAGGAAGAGCTTGTTGAAGCGTAAGCCGCTGGGCTCTTTCCCAATGAATCGGTGCACATATTCAGTGCCGTGGTCATGCACGGCAATAGCGTACTTGAGCGGCTTCACGCATGACTGCAGGCAAAATGGCACTTTAGTGTCACCCACTGTGTGTCTGTGCAAAAGAGTAAACAGAGATCAGAACCAGAGACATCATCCTATGGTCCATATAAGCAAACAAACAAAAATAATGATCCTAAAGGTGAACCTAATGCCGAGTTCACACTGCACGATTTTCAAACTCGTCAGATCGCCGTTGTTTTCACACTGCGTGACTATCTAGGCCAGCATTCAGTTGCTGCTGTGTTCACATTGCACGATGGATCGGCGACAGGGGGTTTCACACTGCATGACTTCACAATAGGAAGAATCGCCGACAGCTCTGTCTGGTCCGCAAACTACGTTTCACAACAAAACACACGCGAGAAGTGATAAGGAAATAACGCGAGAACCCGTGTGCGTCAGACCGGAGTTATCGCGAGCAAAACTGTAATTATTAAAAAATATATATATATAGCCCGCAAATTGTCTGTGAGCTGATTTCCAGCTAATGAATGAGCACCGATTTGCCTCCGATTTCGGGTAATTTGTCTGCGATTTCACAAAACCTGTCGGCGAGTGAAAAATCGGGCTAAAATCGTGCAGTGTGAACTCGGCATAACAGATAGACTGTGACTCTAACATGATATGAAGATTTAAAAAAAAAACATGAGCATGATTAACAGAGACACAAAGGCATTTCAATTTATGATATATTTTCTTGTTTTCTCCAATTGCTCCGACCTTTATAAACAGCTCTTTTCACACTCTATAAATTCTCATTAGGAAAACATTTGCAATAATTATGTATGATTTAGGCCATTGGACACACACCAATGTCAGGTCTTGGAGTCTCTACTAATGAGCTGATGACCTGAATCAGGTGTGTTTGATTAAGGAGACATGCAAAATGTGCAGTGTTGGGGTGCCTCCAGGACCAGGGTTGGGAACCACTGATTTAGGCTACTGAATGGACTCTGTGTGAATTACATAAACGTGTATGTATTTTTTTCAGCAACATTCAGAAATGTCTATTTCATATAAAATGAAACATAAATAAAATGTAATTATACAGTTATTTTTAGAATTTCTTTTTATCTCTCAATACTTCAAATAAATAATAAATAATTGTTTTTTCTAAATTTAATTCAAATTAACAGTTTTATCAATGGGCAGTGATTTAAATTATAATTTTGCTTTAAAAATACATTTTAAAGTATAAGTTGCTGTTGTACATAGATTTCTATTTTTCATATTCAGCAAAAAAATAAACAAATGAAATAGACAAAAATGTAATAAGTAAATAGATAAAATAATTATTTAATAACTTTAAACAACTGTTGCAAGTTTGCTAAAATGGAACTATCAAAGTTAATTCAGTTAATCAGGTTTTTTGTTTAAAGACTTTAATAGAAGAAAGTAAAATGACTAATGTTATTCCATCATTTTTTGTCAATAGGTCAAGGCACAGTGTTGTTGCCCAAAAGAGCTAGTTACTATGTAACTACTGAATGACCATAGTAATCAACACAGGGGTATGTAGGCACCCTGTGTATCTTTACAACAAATCCTATAGCATGGGGTAAAAACATACAGATTATATCTTAGTATGTCCCAATTATCAGAGATCAAATGATGTACCATGACACATGGGTCTAAGTATTGAGGGAAACACTAATGACTGTGAGTTTATAGTCCTCTTATCAATGATTCTCAAATGAGAGGATTAACATTAGCACATTTTATCTGCGCTGGGTGACTAGTCCAGGAGATAAGTGGAGCGTTTATTGAACGATAAGATTAGCTGCCACTTTATCTGATGGTTTTATAACATAAAATATATGAAGTATTTCCGGTACTTGTCATAAATGTACATATAGTGAATGGTCAGTGGTAGCACAATTCAAGTGGTCATTTCCAAAGCAAAAGTAAAAGAGCACATATTTTGAACATATTTTTCTCAATTAATTATTTGACTGAACATTTTTACATTTTTACAGAATACTAGATTTCAAAATGTGAAATCATCTATTTTTGATTGGACAACACACACTTAAATTAAACATACTGGAAACTGAGTTTACATCTCACAATTCGTTTTTTTCTCTAGAGTTTCTGTCTCACAAGTCTTACTTTTTTCCTCTGAATTTTGAGTTTACTTCGGTTTTTTCCACCACAGAATTAAAAAAAGGTAATTTCAACCTTTCTCACAATTCTAACCTGATAAAATATATAAAGATATAAAAAATTGTGAAGAATAATGCCACAACTGTGGCATAAAAATTCACAACTACCTTATTTATATGTTTATCCCATGACAGAAAGTTGGAAACAAGCTTACATACATTTTGTGAGTGGTCATTATTTTCATCATACGTGTCGAAAGTGCTGTTTAATTGTTTGATTCTTTAATTCTTTGTTTAAAATGGTTAAATGATGGGGAAAAATGCAAGTAGTACGCTAGTATTCATTCCCCAACATCTCTTTATATCCCTGTCATGCAAGGTCACTCACTGCCATCATCTATCAAACCTCTACAAGCTGACACCACAGCACCCATCTCTTCAGGCTGCAGTGAAGCTGTCAGTGCCAGTCAGATCGACCAGGCAGTAAACACAGCACCAACAGCAAAGAAGCTGAAAAACAGACATCTATCAGGCTGGTGTATGGAGGCAGGTATTATGGATAACGTCTGAGGAGTGACACACAGCTAGAGGGAGCAGATTGTCGGAGTTTGCTCATAAATAAGACGCAGAGTGCGTTTATATAACGTATAATATATACAATCATATACTGTATGTGTAGTGTCTAAATGTGTATGAGAAAATCTCTTCTCACCTGCAGGGAATAATTTTTTCTGACAGACTAGGAATTTCTCACCTTGATTTACCAGGGTAATTGCCTTTGGGGTTATTATAGTTATAGGAATAATAGGTGCAGCTTTGAAGTACACAGTTTGTAGTAAGCATAATAACTCCATCCATGAGTGAGGAAACCATAAATATACTACGGCACAGTAAAAAAACAGTGTCAACTTACTTTTTGAACAGGTGTCGGTCCAGCATTACACCATCTGATGTGGATTTGAGGGTGACTTTCAACATGTCCATACATTCTTTTAGCCGTGGATCTCCCGTTCGAAGTCCAGTGGCCTTCAGTGCCTGAATGTAAACAAGAGATTTCCATGAGCACAAATAACAGTTAACAGCTAACTGTCTATGGCATTAACTCGTTACTATCATCAATCCCAACACTCTTATCAGGGGATTTCACTTCCTTTGTCGGTGAGGTTTGATAAGATGGCCTTGGTGTAATAAAACATGACTCTGTGCCCCGTTTAGTGGTGCCGATAACAGCAACAACACCGCAGTAATTGTATGCACTGATACTATTGTATTATCATACTATTGCAAAGAACGATGACCTATGAACACAAAACATGCTACAGCCAATAATATCCGTCCTTGCAAATACAAATGTGTGTAAGGGGAGTGCTGTCACTCACGGTAATGAATTTGTGAGCTGGGATCCTCTCCTGGCCTTCAGCAATACTGTAAAACAGCAGGTCTTCCAAGCTGGGCAGGATGCCAGCCTTCCTTCTCCTGGAACAAGAGAGAAAAGTGCACTGACATTGAGTGATCTGACCTTAACCAATGACTTCTACCATGATAAAATCTGCCACAATCTACAGCAACAAGACAAGACATATTAGATCAGCCTGGAGTGTATTTTAATGTCATGTGTTCAAATACACTATGAAACCGTCAAAGGAATTTAATTTGTTAGGGTTAAAGTTAGAAAATATACCCATGCAACAAAGATGAACAGAAAAAAGAATGAGTCAGTGAAGAGTTAAAGAGCCCATGAAATTACTTGACTTAATTCTTGTGCAGACATTTTGTTTGTTTGTTTGATTTTTACAGAAATTTGGGACAGGACATTGGGCTAGATAAATTACATTTATATAACTTGTATATCATAATTACATTCAATTTTTATATAGATCATATATCATAATTACATTTATATATTTAATATATTTTACTAACACATTAGAATAATCATTGAATTATAATATTGATAATAATAATACGCCTATTATTAATTATAGGAATCGTTTTTAATTAAATGAATGTATTAACAATTCTAAAAAAAATTATAAAATAATAAATATTATATAATTAATAATAATAATAATAATAATAATGGTAGGCATTAGTTATACTTTGGTAGAGAAATACTGTAAATATAAAAGGATTTCCACAATTATTACAAATATGCAATGGGTAAATATATATTTGGGTTTTAAATTGTTATACTAGGGTAAAAAATAAAAAGGTCATTTATTGTTTTTATTAAAATATCTTAACTATGCTGACATCATGTTACAGGTCTTCTGTGATGCAAACATGCATTAGCAATTGCACAATACACGAGTGTAGATTCACTCTTGCCAAGTTCTATTAAGAGCTGACCTAACATAGCTATTGCATTATCACATTTAGATGGCTTTGAGTCTAATGGAGCTCTGCATAAGCTGCTGTGGCACTGAACCACAACAGAGTCTGGCCAAGACTGTAGTTCCCAGCAGCCTACCAAAACATCCTCTCACAGAGCACCAACAGCCCCAACTTCCCACCACGAACATTTCCAGAACTACAGCTTTCCTTTACCAAACTTGATTTGCATTTGCTCTATTCATTTTCCTAGAGATTATTTGATGTTTCATTTGAATGCTTTTTTAAATTTAATTTAAAATACACATCTAAGGTTGTCATGGGAATGGCACAAAAAGGTGATTTTGATCTTTTGGGATCATTTGTGAGGATTATGAAACATAGAGAGGGAATTTGTTGAGAAAGGATTGATAGAGGTGAAAGACTGGAAGTGACAATTCAAATCATACTTACACACAAACAAACAGCAGGCAGAGCAATGAGGGAGAGAAAAACATGCAGAATGAATGAGAAACATACAATAAACAGATCAATCAAATCAATTATATGACAAACTTAAAATTGATCAAACAATCAAGAATCTTTCATGACGTATAATGTATTAAATATTCATTTCATTTCATTAAAGAAAAATGGGGAAAAGAAGGTCATTTTTTGATATCGAATGAGGAGTGGCTTGATGTATGTAAATTCCCGTGGAAATGTACTAACTCTCACATATGGCGGGAGTTTGGGTGGAAGTGCCTTATCAGATTTTTTATTACACTGAAACAGAAAGCACATATTGAGGGAGGGGACACCAAATGTTGGAGACAGTGTGGGTTTCGGGAAGCCAATCAGGGCTTTGTGGAGCAGTTGTGGCCTAATGGATAGAGAGTTGGACTTGTAACCTGAAGGTTGTGGGTTTGAGTCTCAGGTCCAGCAGGGATTGTCGGTGGGGGGAGTGAATATCCAGCGCTCTCTCTACCTTCAATACCACTACTGAGGTGAGACCCTTGAGCAAGGCACTGCAACCCCAAGTGCTCCCCAATTGGCTGCCCACTGCTCCGGATGTGTTCACGGTGTGTGTGTGTGTGTGTGTGTTTGTGTGTGTGCGCGCATGTTTATTCACTACTACTAGTGTGTGTGCACTTGGATGGGTTAAATGCAGAGCACAAATTTCAAGAATGGGACACCATACTTGGCCACACATCACGTCCTGTGTGTGCACTTGAATGGGTTAAATGCAGAGCACAAATCCTTTCCTTTTCATATATTTTGGGATAAAACCTTTCTGGGCAGAGCTTCATAAAGCAGTGGAAAGCATTTTTAACACTACACTGCCTTTGGACTTTTGCACATTATATTTAAGAAATGCTGATTTCCAGACAAGATGGCCTGAAAAATACCTATTTGGCATTTTAACATCTGCTGGTAAAAAAGCACTTACTCAAGGCGTTGGTTGCTTCCTGAACCCCCCACAATAGAAGAATGGATGGATACAGTAAATGTATGTTAGGTTTTCAGAAGATTGTGTTCAGAAAAGTCTGGTCCAAGTGGGTCGAATATGTAAGGCCATTACAGCCAGACTTTGTGGAGGTATAAAACAAATGACCCTTCCCTTCTGAATGAAAAATGTTATTGTAATCTCCCTTACATACCTTTTCCACATTGGTCTCTATCATAGACCAAGAACAAACACTTAACATTATTTAGTATGGAGTTTGATTATCAAGTATATACCTGACCTCTCCCGAATTGTAAAAATTATTATTGTTATTAATATTATTATTTAATTTTGTTTTGTATTATGTATATGTAAAAAAAAGAAAAATTGAATGGCAGAGAATAATGTAACTACATCTGTTTTGAAATAATGTACTGTTGCTTATGCTGCTACATCAAAATTTAAAAAATTAAATAATAATAATTCATTTCAACTCGTCCCTCAGTCAGGAATGAATGAATGAATGAATAAAGAAAAAATGAACTGATATGATATTTTTATATGTCTATTATTTCAAAATACAGGGTTATCCTGCTCAACACTAAATCATTAAATCAAAACAAAAAACATCTGATATCACAGAGACCATCACAACTCCCATGATGCCAACAAGTATTTGCTTTGTTTATTAAGTATTTTAATGTTTACTGCCTGAGCCTACAAAATGACAGATGAGCTGACACTATGTTCTGCACTGATCGACATTTTGCCACAAAATGCATCCAAAATATTCCCATGAGAAGAATAAGTGCATGAAAAAGAGAAATAGACTAAAAACATAAGTTACAAACAGAAAGATCTGACAATGTACCCACAAACAGCTCAACAAGTCATTATGCAAAAACCCAAACGGTCTGTTTTTACAATAAAACTGATTCAGCATCTATACTACACAGACACAGCACTGAACAAAAATAAATTTTGCAGGTACAAAGTACAAGTACAGCAGAAACAGGAGGTCTGTCTAATGAAAGCCAAAGATCCCTGAAAAGGGAAATGGGGGAATCATCCGCGCTGGACCTTTGGGATCTAATTAGCAGCAAAGGTCTTTGGTGTTATAAAACAGAGCGTCTGTCTGACTCTGGCCCATTCTCTTCTTCTTTCATCACTTGTCCATCTCTGCAGTATATGTGTGATTCTACATGGGATTCCATGGATTCTCAGAGAGCCTCATCGCCCTCCTGCAGACTTAATAAAACAAACATTTCACGCATATTCACACACCACTGACGGCTCACAGAAGACAGGGCCCAACACGTAACCAAAAACCACAGGCTGTGCAGACACTGTGACCTGACAGCAGGGATTGTGGGTTTATTTTATGGCAGCACAATTATTATTATTATTATATTTTTTAACAAACAACTACCTGTTAAATTGATGCATTTATCAAGTACAGTAAATGTACATTTTCAGTAAATAGGAACAATTCATCTAAATTCTCTCAGCTTATTCAGAAAATATAAAGATCAGAATAGGAAGATCAGAAAATATTAAATGTACTAGGGCTGTGCAATTAATCGCATGTGATTGTCATGCGCATCTCGTCAGTAAAGCCGGTTTATTTTATTTTAATTAGGCAATATCGCATTCATAATCGCAGATGAATCTCATTTGATTATGAATGCGATATTGCCTAGCTTGTCTGTGAACTATGGCTCTGTGTATTGCGCATGACAATCGCATGCGATTAATTGCACAGCCCTAAAATGTACAACATAAAAAACACCATCTGGAACCATTTTATCCAAGAAGATGGCATAGTTTGATGCAGATTGTTGCAAACAAACATTAAATACTTTATATTTCATTCACGTTTCAAGGGAAGTGTGATCAAATAACGCATTATGTCGCATAATGGTCCCTGGACGGGACGCGGAGGTTCTAGGTGGGCTACCTCCAGCGGTAGTAAACACCATCGCTTCAGCTAGAGCCCCGTCTACCAGACACGCTTACAGGCTGAAGTGAAACCTGTTCGTCGGTTGGTGCTCTTCCCGCTGGGAAGAGGGCGAAACATGCACGCCAACGGTCATTGGCTTGTTTAGTTAACACTCGAAGGTGATTGGGCTCTCGGGCGAGATTCCAATTCGTCAATCACTGACGTAACGTCTCCGTTCCCTCCTTCAGGGAACGAGGGTTACACAAGTAACCTAGACGATTCTGCTGCTGACATGGCAGTATGCTGCTCTAAACCATGTGCCAAGTGGAAATATGTATTCTGGATACAGAGACAGACTCTGTAGGTGAGGTGAGAATTTAGCACTGAGATTTTTAACATATTTGTTTACAAAACATAACTAAATACTTGCAACACCATAATTCTATGCATAATGGATATATCCATTATTCACTATATATTCACAATGATTTTGCTAGAAATATAAAATGCAACATTGTGACTTTTCTAAAGAGTATATTAATTGGACATTCAATTTTCTAAAGACTTGACTAGTTCCAGAAATATAAAAAGCCAGAAATACAATTAAAACAGAAATGTTTAAATAGCATCACAGTAGCAAAAATTAAAGTTGGTAAGTTTCTTAATAAGTCTGATTCAGTTCTGTAAATCAATTTAAGTGAATCAGTTCAAATTTTTGATTTAACAGTCCATTTCATCACTCAAAACTGACATTTTTCATGAATTAAAACGTTTTAATAA